CATGTTTGTGTCCTGCTGCTCCGCCGCGTGCTGCCAGTCCGCCTGCGCCTGCAACCTCTGGCTCCTGAGCGCATGGCACTTGTAGTACCGATGATGCTCGGTGCCCACCGCCTCTCCACAGGCCAGGCAAATGTCCGCGGGTACGATGTTGCACCTGCACAGCTTCTCCATAGCCCACGCACCTCCGACGAAGACCTTCTTCGCCGCATTACTCGCATGCTTCGGGAAATCACGTGCACGTAGCTGCGCGACTGCTGGCGCCAACAACGGCATTGGTCTCAGGCTCTTGAACTCCTCCGCCTGCGTCCATTCCTCCCAGAGGGTTGCCTGCACGTCCTTGCGCACCATCGCCGCGATGTCCATGGGGCACACCTCCTGCATGTTCAGCACGAAACCCTCCTTTGAGGCGAAAGTGTGCCACGCAGGCCATGTCCACGTAGCCCTCCTTATTGACATGATGACTGCCCCTGCTGGACCTCGCACTCGGGCCCAAGCAGGCTTCATGCCGACCTCCTGCTGCTGCCGCCTCCATGCCTGCTGCAACATGGTGGCTATGTTGTCCCATTGACCTCCTCCGTCCTCGTCATGTACGCCATGCCATACTGTCCGCGCCCACCTAACTATGGGCGCCTCTGTGACCTCGTATGTAGGCTCCTCCTGCGCCACTGCCAGCTGCAAGGTGAGGCTGCGAGCTCCTCGTCCCCCTGGTAGTAATATCCCTGCCCCTCGCCGTAGCTGTCGAAGCTGGTGGCCTGGCATGCCCAAGCACTTGCACCCATACATAACCGAGCCCGTCAGGCCACACTTGTACACCAAGCCAACACCCTTGGTCATCTTTCGCCCGCCCTTTAGAGCGAGCAACCTGCGACTCCTGACCTTCATGACAGCGTGCCTTTTGCCGCTCTTGGTCTTCGCCGCCGTGCCGCGCGTGACGACGTCGACCCCCAAGTGTGGACATGCCTTCACCACTGGCAGACCTCGCTCCTGCATCGGCCCTGTCACGGCCCTTCGCGCCCACTTGGTGCTCGCCATCACTGCACCTTTGCCCTTGCTGCCCACGGAGAACTTCAGGCCTAGCCCCTCGGACCCTCGGAAGCAACTGTCAATCGTCTCTCCGAACTCCGTGACTATGTGCCTATGCTGCTGTCGCAGCCGTACGCACAGGTCGTCCACGCACATCCCCCAGCGCGCCCTCGGTCTTTCGACCACCAGGCCATCCACCGTGGATTGTATGACCATCTTCAGGAAACATACCGAGTACTTGCTACCCGCGGTGATGGTGGTGACCGTCTCTGTCTCATTGGACACTGAGTCCCCTACGATGAGGCGCCTGGCCATGGCCAAGTATGAGCACACCACCGCCAGCACCCCTGCGTTGAACTTGAGCTGCTTTCCCGCTTCCCACAACACGTGCAAGCTGACCTTCTCAAAAGCCTTTACCAAGTCCAAAACGGCCGTGACCGTCGCCTGTGTCTCCTCGCTCTGCTCATCGACATCGCCCATCTCGTGGCTGAGCAACACCTCCCAGGCCGCGTCCTCCGCCGCCTTACCGTAGCTCGTGCAATCCCAGCTGCGATAGTTATTCTTGGCCCAATCGACCATGTACGGCTCTCGCATAATCTCCCACACCCTGATGGCGGTGGGCAGAAGCCCGATAACCCTGTCCGTGGTGTAGGTCTTCGGGGTCATGAAGAATAGCACAGTACCCATGTGGATGGGCCAGCGCAGCGTCCGCTCCACCCCCACGTAGAAGTCCAACAGCTTGACGTAGGCCTCGTCCGACGCACCCTGCAGCATAGAGGGGTGCCACCTGTCGACTCCGACCCCCGTCTTTTTCCTGAAGGTGCGCGCTACCTCCTTAAGCTTGTCAACGTCCTGGTCTGTGAAGGGCTCGAGCTTGTCACGCTCTCCGTGCTCCCACGGCCGCTCCACCTTCTGGATCTGCTCGCCGACCCTCCAGACCACTTTCCACTCGTTGAGGGTGTACTCAGCTGCCGCGATGGGATCCGCCGAGTCCCCCATGGAGCCTGCCCTACGCGGTCTCCATACTGATGCAGCCTTGCTCAGCTTGTGTAGACCACCCGCTGCTCCTGCTGCCGCCTCCTGCAACCTGTCTGCCCAGCGTGCTCGCCTCTCCTTGAGTAGTTTCTGGTCGTACTCCTTCATCTTGCCCTGGCTCTCCTGCATCCATTGCTGCAACTTTGCTTCCTGATGCGCTCCTCGGAGTAGCCCAGCAGCCAGCAGTCCGCACCTGGCCTGCCACCTGCCCTGCTCCTTTGCGTTGAGGTGCTTGGTCCTCCGATGCGTGATGATGAACTGGTGCTCCTGCGCAATTGCCTCCTCCTGTTGGCGCCTCTGAATGTCTCCATTTCTCGCCGTCTTGAGCCTCGTGCATGCCCCTTGCAAGCTCTGTAGCGTTCTCGCGAGCCACCTCCACCAAACTGTTTCCCTGGCGGCTGGCGGCGCGTTGGCACCACCGAAACTTAGCGGCTTGATCCCCCATGTCGGCTCCTCGGCTCGCCCTGCTGCAGGGTGGTCGGGCGCCCATTCGAGTCCTCGTGCTGCGGAGGCCCCCTGCTCCAACGTCTGCATGTACTGCCTCCACTCCTGGTTGGCCACCTCCTGCGACCTGAAGCACGCGATCTCTCTATACTGCGGCGGCGCCGGGGTGCATCCGATGCCCAGCTCTGGCAGCTTCTTTGGCTCCTCCAACACCCTGACCATTCGCTCCTGCGCCTTGAGCCTGAGTGTTAACCCCGCTGGCTTGCGGGGCGCCGACGGCCACTCCTCCTGCACGCTGACATACATCACCTGGCTGACGAGGCTGTCCGCCACGATGAAGTAGTCGATCTCGCTCACGCCGCACGCATGTCTGCACGTTCCACAGCTGGCCCCTGACGCGACAACCCGCGCCTTGGCCATCTTGACGCTCCCCACCTCCGTCATCTTCCCAGGCGCCACTTGGAAATCGCCCCCGATTATCCACGGCGCGCCGAGCGCTTCCACTTGGCATATCATCTTGTTGATGATCTCCGCGTTCCTGAACGACATCCCCTCTGCCGTCCACAGGTAGACCGTCGCGTAGATGATTCCCTTGCCGACCGATAGCCATGCCGCTGCAGCCCTCCCCGGGCTGTTCCGCGGTGACAAGTCCCACTTCTCCTTGCCGAACATGTACGTCATGCCGATGCACCTGGGCACCGCGACCGCAACGCCCGCCGAGGTGCCTGCTTCTCCACCTGGGCCTATCGTCGGGTTCGCTTCGGCCCCGCCGAACTGGTACCCCTTCGCCTTCATGCTCTGCGACACGACCGCGATCTTGTCGCCCGTGAGGCGATGCTCTTGCACTGCGTAACACTGCAGCAGGCCCCCTTCTGCGTTCTCGATCCTCTCTTTGAGGGTACCCCACCCCGAGCCGTTAAACGTCCACAGGGTGATGCTCTCGAACTTGTTCTGGCGATGCCTGCTAGGAGTGCTTTGCCCGCTTATTGTGCTCCGCAAGGCTGGCGCACACCTCGAGCCACCTCTTTCGCTGTGCTTCGCTGGCATCCTCAGGCACCCCACCTGCGTGTAGCCACTCTTGTTCTTCTGGCGACAGCTGAGGTCCCTGCTCGCGTCCTGCTTGTCCACTCCTGGCTGCGCCTGTGCCCCCGCTGCTGCACCAGCAGGAGCATCACCAGCCTCTTCAGTGTCCATGCCGTCCTTGTCTTCCTTGGGCTCCTCCCTGACGCTGTCCAGCACCCTGGCGAGTGCTGCGAACACGTGATCGCGCTCCTCTTTGCTGGTGCCGCTTCCTTCGACGGCCCATTCGTACTGCTTCTGCATCGCCGTGAGGAAGCCTTCACCCTTGACCCTTGATGGAGACGTCCTGCACCTTGAGCTCCGACTCCTTGGCCTTTGCGACCTCGGGCTGCTCCCTTTTCTTGGCGAGCTTCTCCTGTGCATCCTGCATCGCCTTCTGATGCCGCTTGACCTCGCCATGGATGGCCGCCTCTTCCTTCTCGAGCTTCTCCCTGGCGACCCGTGCCTTGGTGAGCTGGACCGAGTGCGGTTTCGTGCTCTGCTTGGCGTCCTTTGCCCGCATGTAACGCTCCTGCGCCTGCTGGTACTCAGTGGACTGGTCTCCCCACTCGGATCTGCACGACTGCGCCCACCTGAAGAGCTTGTCCAGGTCAACCGGCTTCTCGTCGTCTTCATCCTCGTGGGTGGCGTGCTGTTGCTTCTTGAGGTTCTGAAGCTGCGCCCGCATGGTGCCCACCTGCTTCTGGAGCGCAGCCTCTCGCTTCGACGGGCCCAACAGCACGTCCTTGTACGTCGGTCCTTTGACGTCCTTGTATGCCGATCCTTTACGTTGCGCCTGGGCCCCACACCCCCGACACTTCTTGCGCGTAACGTAGTTGTCCGCCACGCCACAGCTGCAGGACCAGTAACCGTTGCTCGAGCGCGGCCAGCCCCACGCCGCCATCGCGCGCCCGACTGCCGAACGGTAAACCGATCTGCCTGCCGCGGATTAGCGGTATCCCTTTGACCACCAGGGCGAATGCCCCGCGTGTTGGTCATCTTGAGCCAACATGGCTACGGCAAAGAGCCCCAAGAGGCCCCAAGAGGCCTCCAAGAGGCCCCCAAGATGCCCCCAAGAGGCCCCAAGAGGCTCCCCCGAGGCACCCAAGACGCTCCTGGAAGCCCCTGGGGCCGCCAAGAGGCCCCCAAGACGCCCCAAACGGCATCCGAGAGGCTCCCAAGAGGCCCGAAGAGGCTCCCCCAAGGCACCCAAGACGCTCCTAGAAGCCCCTGGGGCCGCCAAGAGGCCCCCAAGACGCCCCAAAAGGCCTCCAAGAGGCTCCCAAAAGACATCCCAAGAGACCCCGCGATGCATCCAAGAGGCCTCTGGCCCTTCTGCTCGTCCTCCCCTTCTCGTCCGCCTCCCCCTCTTCCTCCTCCCTCCTCCCCTACCCCACCTCCTCCTCCGATTCCTCCTCCATCCTCCCCTCTTGGGATATGGCGGCATCCCCTGTCCTTCGTTTCTCTGTATGCTCCCACACTTCCCTGATCGAATCAAAGCAACTCCTCTGGGCATCATTGCTGAAAAGATGACCAACAAATCCCGACAGTCGGTACTCTTTGCTAAAGTGGCTGTTTTAGGATGGGCTATTGGGGATTCGCGAAGCGTGACCAATTACGCCAACAAAACAGTTCGCAATCCAACCGGGCAACCAGACTGCCAGGAAGGCAGCCAGCGAACCAGCGAGCTAACCTGCCAACTGAATTGCTAACCAACTGAGTTGCTAATCAATCAGCCAAGACGCCAACACAAACAAACTAGCCATGCATGTAGGTAAACCCACGGCGAACTAGCAAATGACGAAGCCCTTTAGGCTATACGCAATAGCATTCGGTCTCAGTGGTATGCCTCTGGGAAGAGCCTGATAGTGCAGCAGGGGGGCAGTTCCAGGTGGAGTATGTTTGACACAAGGAGGGAGGAGGGAAAACGCGGGTAGACGAGGAGGAGGAGGAGGACTACGAGGGGGTGGCGGAGGACGTGGTCGAGCACAAAAACGTCCGCGAGCAGCTGATTCCTTCATCACACATCAAGATACATCGCGGCGCCGCTGCGCTGCGCGTCGCTAGCCGACGTCGCCCTGCCACTTCCAGATGGGGGAGGAGGGGAATGGGGGTGAACGCCACCGCCGACCAGCGCCCAGCAGCCCACAGTGGCAAATTCCAGCCCTGCCCAATGTCGCAGGGCTCTTCAGATGAAGGGCAACGTCTCCGCTGGCTGGCAATCCAGAGAGGGCAAGGACAAGGACCCTCGGGCTCGCTAATCGACGTGTCAGGGTAGGATTGTGGATGCCACGACAATGGACACCCTAACAGTCCTATCATTGAAGTTAAAATGTTTTTGAATGTGTAAAGCATGTTCGAAACTTGGTTCAAACATGTGTTTACATGATCAAAACATGCTTAACACATGCTCTAGGCATCTGGGAATTATTTGGCAACATGCCTCCTCCCCATTGATCGTGCCCCACAAGGGTCGGAGGCCTGTCCACCCCCGATTGCTTGACATTGGCGCTGGACCCCCCCCTTCCCTGGGCGCGCGGAGCGCGACAAAGGGTGGCACCAGAGGCGCCGCCGAGGGGGGGGGCACGGCGCCGATCCCCGAGAGATCCGCGCGGACCGACACGGGTCCGTTGTGTGTTGTGCCTCGAGGGCTGCAGAGGCAGGGCGTCGCCGAGCGCTCTCCACAATAGGGGAGACCGAACTCCATACACCGACGCCGTTGTCTGGCCTCACACTGAATCCCGCACAGGACAGCGGATCCTGGTGCAGACGGGATCCTGGCGTATACAGTCTTCGCTGTTCCCCCAGGGAAACAGGGAAGAAGTATACACCACACCACCCCGACGTCGACCCCGACCCTCAAAGAAACCCTGGGATTAAGAAGCCGCCCGCCACTGGTAATGTAGATGCTCCAGTTTCCGACACTACTCACACAATACCTACTGACAAACTTCCCCAAAACACGTGTCTGTTTTGATGCATGTTATCGTAGATCCCCTGTGGCAGATCAGGCCATTTGCGAGTAGCTACTTTGCGAGTAGTGGAACGCGCTCGTCTGGGGAAGAAGGATGAGGAGCACGGCCGAACCCATGCCAGACAAACATCCTTCAAGAATAGGAGCTCCTCCACCGGCCAGGCTGAAGACTATGCGCGGGTACACTCCTCAAGGATGCACGGGTACATCCAGCAAGCATGAAGAACATCGAGGTACCCTCCCCGAACCGACCTCGATCTCATACCTCGGTCCGACCGTACGACGGCGGAGGGGATGATGAGGTCGATGGGTGAGCAGCCGAGAGGAGGACTGCCACGCAGACAGAGGGGTGTTCTCGACAGGCCTGGACCGCGGGAGGTCACACGGCGTGACCGCGTCGGCGGCTCGTGTCAGCAGCTTCTGGACGCAGTGGCGAGTGTCCGAAACGACGGGAACAGCGATTGCTCGGCAGTCGTCCAGTCCTTCCCCAGAGACACAGAACACTCCTCGGAAGGCCCGAGGGCTTCTGAAAAGCCCCGCCGCCTTCTGAGAAGGCCCGCGCCTTCTCACTTCTCCCCCTCGCTGGCCGCCGAACGATGGCGACAGCGATTACGATGACGAATTCTCCAAGCTCGTGGCCCTCCGATTGCGAGCCGAATAACGCATGCGAGCTCCATTACCCAACGAACAAGATGTATACATGTGTACACAGGCATCTTCCGACGGAGTTGCACGTACCTTCGGGCAGGCGGCGGTGTATGAGGTCGTTGGCTCGCAGTGATAATTTATGCACCGCCGCCCTCCCGTAAGGCCCAACATCAATCCACACTGCAGGACGTCTGTGTACATATTGCTGTGGCGGATTCATGGTAACGGAGGGCGTGGACCCTCCCCCAAGCCCTCCAGACCCCCCACCCGCCCACCCACCCCAACCATCCACACCCCACAGCAGTGTGGCGCATACGCGCAGCAGCGTACCCGCCCGTCGTGAGGTGTGGGTAGAAGCATGAAAGAAGAAGGCGCTGGAAGCAGATTGGGCGTCCCTCCGCCCCTTGAAGAGGAAGGAGGAAGGACAACCGCTCTATCCTTGAAACAGGAGGGCGCCTAAATTAGATGGGGATCTAGGAGCCCAGAAATGCATACTCCAACGACCGACGTGTAAGTGGATGACGATGGGGACGACGACAGTGACGACGGCGATTTGACATGTTGGAAACCCAGACCGCGTCGGAAGTCCGCCGTCAGTCCCCATGCCGTCGCTCTTCATCGCAGACGGTCTGTTTGCCAGGGATGTGTTAATTGACATTGCTCTGATACGCCCCCACTGGCCGAATGGCAGGTCCAGTGACAATACGGGAGGAAGGAGGGCGCGCGGGCCAGGGCGTCGTCATCAGCATGGCAAGGGAAGAAGGCATTATGCAAGGGGTGGGGACATTACGCAGGTGGTGGAGTGCGTGTCTTGAGAGACCGTCCAGAAGGGGCGGGGCAGAATCCAAGCCAAACGCGGCTGAATGCGAAAGTAGAATATTTGGCTGGTCATCCATAAAACCCGTGACCGGGCTGCCAGCGCAATATTCGAAGCCGCCCACGGCCCCGAGGCTTTCCATGCGAAGTTGGAGGCCCTTCGACGCGGCCCGAGGCTGTCTGAGACCATCCCTTGCCACCTGGCAGCCGAGTGGGGCAGCAACTATCGTGAGAGGGGTATCCCACCGCCACATACACAGGTTCCACACGACCAGGGGGCCATTTGGAGTCCCTTCCCCTCCCCCTTCCCTCTTGCTGGCTTGTCTGCAGGTGAAGTCCCATGGGGCAGGAGCTCCTCCCACGGACTGCCACCGAGCCACCTGCAGTCTCATCGATCGTTTACTGAAGGGGATCTGGGACACACAAATAAATACACACAAATAAAAATATCCCCCATCTTTTCCCACATTTCCTGGGTTTTTGTTTTCCCCCCCCCCACTTCCCATATTTTCCCATACTTTCTTGGGAATCGACGATTAATTGTGTCTGTGTGTTTTTTCCCCTCCCGATTTACGCCTTCTGCATGGGCCCGCACGCCACCACCAGCCACGCGTGTGCTTGCGAATGTGCGCAGTCTTGGCGCGGCTGCTGTGTGTGGTGGGTCGGCCCGCAGAGCGCCCCCTGCCGACGAGACGCCCACCACCTGGGCCTCTGGCGCTCCGCTCCGCCCCCCCTCGCAAGGAGACGCGCCGGGAGGATCTGCCGATCCCACCGGCGGCGCCCTGCTCCCGCGAGCCCACGTGCTGTCTTGTGCTCTCCCCCTCTTGACCCTCCCCCTCCGCCGCCCCCTCGTCGTCGCAGCCCTCCTCTTTCTCCCTCGCCCCCTCCCTGCGCCTCCCTCCCCTCGAACCTCCCTCCTGTCGCTTCCGCTCGTGCCCTTCTGGCCCCCGCCCCGCTCGACTTCTCCAGCCCTCGCTCGGTCCCCCTTGGTCGCTCTGCGGCATGCACTCGAGGGAGGTCGGGCTTGACGCTAACCCGCCTCCAAATGAAAGCCCTTCCTCGTCCTGCTCCTCCTCCCCGCTCTCCCCCATCTCACTTCAAACTGCTCTCCCCGCCCTCCCTCCACCCCCTCCCTCGAACACCTGACGAGCGGCAGCTAAAGCTCTGGGAGCCCGATGGGAGGTGTCCGGGGATGAGTTGAGTGCTGACCCACCCGCGAGACGCGCAGCAGAAAGGGAGGAGGGGGGAGGAGGGAGGGTTGGGGGGAGAATCGAACAAAGAAACACGTAATAAACAGAAACGTTCGAAGGTTCGCACAGATGTCTCCGGTCAGCGCTGGCACACCCTGGTGCGCGCCACGTGCCAAGAAAGGGGGTCCAGCGCCGATCCAGGAAATCCGCAAGGACCCCCGAAGAATGATCGTTGTGCAAGGGCCCGCTTATTTGTCATTCGCGCAAATTTCCCGCAACTGGCCCTGACCCCCCCCCCCCTTCCCCCCGTCTGGTCAGGTCACGATTCGCGCCGCGCTGGCCGTTCAAAAGTATTACCGGACGGCGCCGGCACTAATCATGAAGTTACGGGCAACTGTCCCTCCTACCCCGTCCCTGGTCACGCCCTTGATCGCCATGCGGATAAAAAACGGCTTACAACTTATCTGCCTCGAGAGAGGGGCGAAGGAGTGAGTGAGTGTGAGCAGCGAGCGGCGCAAGCAGGCGGGAAAAAGGAGAAGCAGGCGGATAAGGCAGAGCAAGAGGGAGGAGAGAGGTATAGAGAAGAAGAGGAGGGGGGAGGAGGAGTGAAGAGGAGGGGGGAGGAGAGGAAGAGGAGGGAGGAGAAAGACGAGGAACGAGGAGTACTTAATGAGGGTGAGGGTGGAGAGACACAGACAGGTAGACACTTTTGGAGCACGAGTTCTAGTTCACTACACCGACCCTGCTCCAGGATCGAACGAAAGTCGCGATGCTCAAGTCCCGCCGACCCGCAAAATTACTCACCTCACCACTGGAAGGGAAGACCCAAGGACTACCAAGTGCATCGGCGTATCTACCTTCATTCCAGGACTCAACAGAAAGCAGAAGACAGCGGCAACAACACGATCGCGGCCGCTTCTACGCAGTTATGTATCGTCGGAGACCGGTGATCCCGCACTACGAACATCCCCCCTCCCAGGGAGGGGAGGAGAGACGAAGAGGAGGAGGAGGAGGAGGAGGAGGAGAGACGAGGAGGAGGAGGAGGAGGAGGAGGAGGAGGAGGAGGAGGAGGAGCAGGAGGAGGGAAGAGGGGAAGAGTATGGTCAGTGAGCGCCGCGAAGAGGCGGAAAAGAAGCAGGCGGATCTGGCAGAGGCGAGGATGAGGGCGGGGTGAGGAGGAGCAAGGGATGAGGAGCAGGAGGAGAGCATGGAGGCGGAGGGAGGAGGAGGAGGAGGAGGAGGAGAAGGAAGAGGAGGAGGAGGCAGGACGAGGGAGGAGGAAGAACAGGAGGGAGGAGGAGGAGGAGGAGGGAGGAGGAGAAAGGAGAAGGGAGGGAGGGAGGAGGGAGCAGGAGGGAGGAAAGGCGGGGAAGGGGAGGGAGGCCCCCGCGCGCCACAGGCGCGCTGCGCGGAGAGGGCGGGAGCTCCTGGCTCCCCATCGTCACCAGGACGATCCACTGTAAGCTCACACCTTTCGCAGCGTAACCCTGCTGCCAGGCAGCCACGCGGCCAGCAGGGGGGGCCCGTGAGGGCCCCAGGTCGGCGCGGCCGGGGGGCGTGCCGGGCGACTGCTGCCCCCGCTGCCCCCTGCTGCATCCTGCTGCCCCTCGCGCGGTCCTCGCCCTCTCCCGTCCTGCTCCGCCTCTCCCGTGCTCCCCGCCGGTCCTCTCCCGCCTCCCTGCTCCCTTCCGCCTCGGCGCCATCCCCCGCCCGCAGATCGACTCGTGACGACTCGCCGCGCCCCCGTGTTCGGCCTCCTCCTCCTCCTCCGTGTCCTCCTCCGACGGCGACGAACACGTCGAGGAGAGAACCTGAAAGGGAGACAGAGAGAGAGAGAGAGAGACAGAAACATAGGCAGATCAACTACGTGGAATTGCAACAGTCGGCCCCCGCTGATCCCGCGGTTATGTCACCAGCGCGACGTGCGCACAGAGCTCTCACAATCTGAAGATGGGTGCTCGGAAGTGTCGCCAGGGGTGCGCGACCTGTACCGAGATGGACGGGGAGGAAGCGAACGACACAGAGACTCGGCGAACGAGAAACAACGTGGGCGAGGAGCGAGGCAGCGATGAGCAGAAGGGCGTCCTTGGGGGTCGAAGTATGTACAAATAAATCGTTGGCACCTCCTTGCGCCTCTCCTTCTCTCTCTATCCTCTCTCCCCGCCCTCTCACTCGCATCTGCCACCTCCACTCCCCTGACTCCCTCACTCTCCTCCTCCCCATGTCCCCTCCTCCCCCATCTCATCCTCCATCACCTTCCCCTCTCCCCCTTCCCTCCGTATCCACCTCTTCCCCCTTTCTCTCATGTCCCTTCTCCCTTCCCCTTCAGGCTCACCCCTTCCCCCAACCCCTCTCCGTCTCCCAAGACACCCTCCCCATACATCCCCTCCTGCCCTGTTCCTCATCCCATTCCCCCTTCCATCCTCCCTATGACTGCCCAATGTGAGCACTGTGAGCACTGCTCAGCCCCCCCACTCCAGCGATCATGTAACGACTCTGGACCTGACCCCTCCGCGCCTAGTCCCTCACGCTCAAGAGCTCGAGCAACACTTCGTGTGTGTGTGTGTGTGTCGTGTGTCGTGTTGGTGTGTGTGTGCGTGTGCGAGTGTGCGTGTGTGCGTGTGTGCGTGTGTGCTCGTGTACGCGTGTGCGTGTGTTCGTGTGCGTGTGTGAGTGTGCGTGTGCGCGTTCCGCTCGGGGCGTGTTCGGACGTTCCGAACGGCGCGCCGCCCAGTGAGGGCAGCACGCCGTCCCGCGCGCTCGTGATCCCTGGCGTCGTCGCCGCCCTCCCCTTCCTCCTACTCATCCTCCTCCTCTTCCTCCTCCTCATGCTTTCCCCTCCCCCTCCTCCTCCTCCTCGAACTCTCCCCCGCCTGATCCTCCCCCCTTCCTCCCCCTCCTCTCCTCCTCCTCTCCTCCTCCTCCTCCTCCTCCTCCTCCTCCTCCTCCTCCTCCTCCTCCTCCTCCTCACCTCCTCCTCACATGCCCCTTCTTCATTCCCCCCCCCGGTTGCCACCTCCTTGTCGTCCTCCTCGCACGCCTCTCCGTGGCCCTCCCTCGTAGCCGCCACCATCACGCTCACTCTGATCTTTGGCTCGTCTCCCATCCTCCTCGTGACCCCCATTCCCCTAAGTAATTACCCCTCCGCCCCCCCCTTCCCCTTCCCTCCTCCTCCTCCTCCTCCTCTCCCCTTCCCCTCCCCCCCTCCCCCAATTACCCTCCTCCTCGTCATCCCTCCTTCCCCATCCCGGGCATCCTCTTCCCTCATCCTCGTCATCCCTTCTTCCCTTTCCGCCCTCCACAATTGTGCCCTTCATGACATTATCCGTCATCGTACTCGATTCGTATGTTTCTCCTCCTCCTCCTTTTAGACGTTGACCTGACGTGAACCGCAAGCTTGCCGCGTGTGTCTCTTCCTCCTCCTCCTCCTCCTCCTTCGCCTCGTTGTTCTGCCCATCAACCTGAATTCCCTCCCTCAGCCTTCGAATTCGTCCTTCTGCTGCTCCCTCTTTTGCGCGGCAGCTATCGCATGTGAGCTCAGCCCTTAGGTATGTGCTTATATACGCGCTTGTGTGTTATGGTTGTTTCACATGTTCAAGCGACGCTTTGTCTCACGTTTCCGGCGCCGTGGGGCCTGGTCCAGATCGCATGTATTTCCTGACCCGAGACCAGTTACACAAACTCTATACACCGACCATGTTTTCAGCCCTGCAATGACACTTGCAGAAGAAAGCGGATCCTGTTGTATCTCGGACCCTGGTGTACCTATTGTTAGTTGTTTCCCAGGTGGACGAGTATATATATATATATATATATATATATATATATATATACATGTGTGTATACACACGTATATACACATGTAGATATACAGAGATCTACGTATATACACAAAACACACACACCACCACCTAGACGTCGTCCACGACCATCAGAAAATCCTAAGACTGAAAAACAGCCCGCCACTGGTAATGTACACGTTCCAGTTACCGAAAAAACACTGTGAGCCGTAGAACGTCTGTCGGATCCCCGACTGCCCAGACCGTTTCGATGACCGCTCGTTTATCGTTTCGGTGATCGGTCATCGCCGCTTTCATGATCAAGAAACAGTGTGGAAAAGGCAAGAGCCATACACAAAACGGTCCTGCGGCTTTCAAGGGCCACTGAATGAAGGCCTGATCCGACGACTGGCTTGGAAATCAGAGTAACAAGATGATGCAATGATCGGGCACACGCTAAAATTGACTACGGATCCGTGCATCTGGCCTGTGGGCGCCAGGTGCACGGATCGGGGAGAGGACCCCCCCCGAAATATGGCGCCGACGCCGCCCGATCTGACGACGGAGCGTGCCGATGCTGTATGGGAACGGGGCCCGCCACCAGTCCACGCGCCTTGGTCATGCCCTCGAGATGAGGAGGGGGGCTCCCCTCCCCTGCCCGCTCCCATCCTGCCGCACCCGCACTCCATCGTTCGCTCCCCGTCCAACCCTCCCCGCTGCCCCATGACCCTGCACACCCTCCCCACCCATTCCTCCCCAATTTCACCCCTTCTTTCCTCACTCATCACTCCCTCCTCCTCCCTCCTGACCTCCTCCACGCTCCCTGCTTCCTGACTCACCTCCATATCCCTCCTCCCTCGGTCCTTCTCCCTGGCCCATCCGTTTTCCGCAGCCCAAAATCCACCAATCTTCCGAGCCTGCGAGACACAAGTCGGAGGTCCTCAGGTCACTTGCTCAACCCCCTCCTGGGCCGCAGAACTGAATCCTGAGGATCTGATACTGAAGGGCAACGATGGGGGTGACTGGCAGTTATGGGGGGAACATCGCACCGGAATCAGCGATACATCGCAGATAGATCGGCGATGGGCCCCCGATAGTGTTGGGGCTATTGGGCGCCTATCGCCGATCAATAGGCGATTGAGGGTGGATGCATACCCCCCTATGTTGGGGGGCGGAAAGATACGGATACGTGTTGTCCCCGGACCTCTCTTGGGGTGCGTTCTGACCAGAATTTCGAGGCGAATCCAGCGGTGACAACGAGGATTCCCCAGGAGGACCAGGAAAGGTCGAAAACGAAGGGGGACAACACGTATCCATATCTGTTTCTCCCCCGACTATGCCCATCCCCCCCCCATCGCTGCCCGCGAGCCAAAGGGCCCGGAACCCGGACCCCAAATGCTCCAATCTCCAAGAGCTCCCGGCACGCCCGGGGCCTGCCCGCAAGACTTCTTCGGGCCCCCCCCCCAAGAGGGTAACAGGCCTCTCGGACGGCCCAAGAGGCCTCCTCGCCAACAGGTAACGGCCCAAGAGGGTAACAGGACTCGCCGAACGAGCCGTCTGGGAACTCGCTATGCCTCATCGGGGATCTTCTGACCCGGGTCAATCCAGACCCGGGTCAGTCAGGCCTTGCAACACCCTGCAAGATCCTGCAAAATTCTGCACGCAAGCCCGGGTCACTGCGAAGGATCCTGCAAGATCCTGCACGATCCTGCACCCAAACCCGGGTCAATGCGGCCCGTGGCCCTTCAGGATCCTGCAAGATCCGGCGCTCTGACTGACCCCCGTTTGCATTGACCCTCGTCTCGAGCCTCCCGACCTCAGCATGCTCAGACGGCGCCGGCTCGAATGATAACGTGACCTGTCTTCTGCCCCCCTCCCACCCACTCCCGGTCACGCCCGTCATCGCCAGGAGATAAAAGAAGTCTATCAAGGGCGTCCGATCGGGCAGGGACAAAATCAGACAGGGATAAATCGGATCTCCGAGATCAAGCGGTTCTGAAGGATGTATCGGGCGCCCGGGCCATTCTCAGAACTTTCTGGAACGCTACTGGAGCGTTTTGGAACGCTCCGGGACGACTTATCCTGGTCTCAGCCGCGTCCAACTTCAGAGGCCATTAAGCCGGAGCAGGCCACATTGAACCAGAGGCTGAGCCGGATCAAGCGGGACTAAGCCAGAGCAAGCGAGATCTAGCCCGATTAAGCGGGAGTCAGCCGGATTCGTCGAGATTTCGACCACGGGCGTACCAGCGCCGATGCTGAACGAAACCTCTCTGGAGCTGCATCCGAACCGCCGTTCCCGCAGAGCCCCGCGTGGCACTGTGCCTGTGAATGGCACCGAAACGCGCTCACGCCGCACGAGGACGAGGAGGAGGACGACTGCGGGTGCAATTCGAGGCCTCGGGCGCGCGGGCGCGCGTGGACCGCGGCGGGGGGGGGGGGGCGGCCGCGACCCCGCCTCTTCACCGAGAACTCCTGCCCCGCCATCAGCAGCAAGGACTTCCTGCGCCAAACGCCTCCTCCCTCACGGCTCTGTGCGGTCTTGGCGCGGGCACCCGTCTGAGCCGTCCCCTCATCGTCCTCCTCCGCCGTGTGGTCATCCTCCTCAACCTCTTCCTGCCGATTCTCCTACAACACCACCTCCACCTGCTCCTCTTCGTCCTCCTCCTCCTCCTCCTCCACCTCCTCATTCTTCCGTCATGTGTCCCCCTGCCTCGTTCTCCTCCCTCATCCTCCCTTCTCATCCGTTTCTCATCCTCGTCGTCCTCCTCTTTGTCCACCTCCAAGTCGGCCTCTCGCAGGTCGGACGGCTGCCGCAGCGACACATCGTGGACCCGATGCTGCACAAACCGATGGCTGCATGGCTGCAGAGCTGGCCAGCCATCCAGCGGGGCGGGCAGCTCTGCCAACGGTCTCAGGGACTGGCTATGCCATACGTAAACCAGGAACGTGACAGTCACCGTGCTACCGTAAAAAACGCTGCACAAGCAACGAAGGAACGAAGGTGCTCTCTGGCCACGGCCAGCCTCGGCAACGAATAGGACCCCCGACCTACGTCTCTGAGGAACCGCCCGAAGACCAGAGCCCCTCGAGCCAAAAAATGGTCACTCTTCCAGCGTCTGTCCTGTAGCGCTGCGCCGCGGCACGGCACGAGGACCGGAGCCCCCCCGCCGCCAGGTGCAGGCACTGCCCTGCACAGCTGCGCCGCGTCGTTCCCCAGCCCGGAGGCCCCCGGCATGAGCAGGATCGAGGCGGGCAACGGGGGAGGGGTCGTCCATCGGCCTGCCGCGGCGCGATTGCCGCTGTAGCCGCACGGCCGCCCACCGCAGCACAGCCGCGCTCCTCCCCCCTCCTCGCCCCCGCCACCGCCTCCCACCCCCCTCCCCCATCCCCCTTGCCCTCCCTCCCCCCTCCCTCCCCCCTCCTCCTTGCCCTCCTCTACCCCTCCCATCCTTGCCCTCCCCTGGCCTCCCCCCAAACTCCACCTCATCCACAGTTGCACAATATGAATGCTACTCTCCTCTCTCCCCTGGTGGCGTCCTGGACATATTCACCCACTTCCGCGTACTGACTTTTTACACACAGGATTCCCAGGAGTTGGGAAAAATGATGCTCTCGCTGAAGCGCTGGCCTCATTTACGGGCTACAGTTCGTTCCGAATCGTGCTCCCGCTGCAACTCTGGCTTCATTTCCGCGTTTCCGCTCGTTCCGAATCGCGTTCCCGCTGCAACGCTGGCGTTACTATTTCCAGCGCCATGCCACGGCATGGTGTTCGGTCCTTCCAAATATGCCCAAAATCTAAAACATTTGTCCCCCCGAGCAAAAACCGCGGAAGTGAGTACACATTCGGTGTCGATTCGTCCGGGCCGCAGAAGACCCCCCCCCATTGGTTCGTCGCCACACCATGCTATGTCAGGTTATGCGTCCTCATGATATGCTGATTTCGCTAAATTAGGCCTCATTTTCGGGCTACTGCTCGTTCCGAATCGCGCTCCCGCTGCAGCGCTGGCCTCATTCCCGCGCTCCCGCTCGTCCCGAATCGTGTTCCCACTGCAGCGCCGGTGTCACGTCATCATTCCCAGTGCTATGACCCGGCATGGTGTTCGGTCCTTCCAAACCGGTCTCAAAATCTAAAAAATGCCTCCCCGAAGAAAAACAATCGGAAGCATTACACATTGGATGTCGATTCGCTGATGTTTGGGACCGCAGAAGCCCCCCCCATCTTTGGGGCGTCGCCACGTCATGCTATGTCATGCTACGCGTTGATATTTAACACCATGGTATGCCATGTCACGCTATGCCAGGCTGCGACATCCAATTGTGCGAATAGAGAGGAGATATACGCCATGGTATGGGATGGGAGGTAGGGATAGGACGTCAGATATGACGCGAGCGCACCTAACTTGCCCCGCCCCCCTCCCCCTTCCTCCCTCCACTCCTCCTCGTCCCCCCCTACCCTCCGCCCTCGTCGTCCACTTCCCCCCATCCCCCCTTCCTCCTACGAGCTCCTCATCCTGGCACTGCTGGTGGGGGGT